TCTAGTGGTCACTAAAACGAAGAAGTTACAAATATACTCTTTGGTGATCACGCTTTGAACTCTGTTGACATCAAGCTTTATTTATCAGTTTGTCGTTGGTTCGTTGAAAATAATGACTAATAAACGCAAAAGCTGCATAGTTACAGTCACTTGTTCCGAGACACATTAATATATTATGAAAATACTCTTCATAATAGTACTAAATTTCGGACATTACCGTTCGTTATCTGCTACTCGAATAACATGACGTAGTCACACTACCTGGACGTGTTCGGACCTATCGATGTTCAGTCGTTATTAAAATTGTACCATTATTCATGTAATTCATAGAGTATTCTCATTTTTTATTCCAATACGTAGATCACTCAATAAGTTTTGAGATATACAAAAAATATTCTAGATACTACATCAATATATATGTAATACACACTAGATTTCGCATTCCGAACATTGACTATGTTCAACTGAACTGTACTGCAATCCGTACACTTAACTAAATATTGCGTAAATTGAAGACTTGTGAATTCCATAAGATAATTATTGTTATTACATTTTATTTAGAAATATGTTTGCTTAGATTAAAATAAGAGTATTTTATATTATATTCTTATATATAGTTGATAATAGTATTCTATATTAATATCTTATTTTATATGTCGTGGTTCTGTTCGTTTGTTTAAACGATGTACCGAAAAAAAAAGGTTAACCCTAATGCGCTATGAATTAAAAACACTAAGTAGTATTTTGTATTCTAATGTGTTGACAAGTGTTACAGTTTAGTCAGAGTGTTATGTGGTCGATAAAATTGGGTTTAGTGGAAGGCGTGTGCTGTAGCGCTCGCTCTTGAGTGAAAGTATACTGTTGGCTTTATTGGTTGGCCACGGACGCATTATTTGTCGCTGCTACCGATTAATATTTGATACACGAGGAAAGTAAATTTGCCTTAAAAATATTTTGTAAGAATAAGTGTTTTATTTTTTAATCGGTTGCGAAAAATGTCGGATAACCAAAGCATAGCTGACGAAATTGAAATAGAGCAAATTAGTTCTGACATTAAAGAGAGTATTTAAGTTTACATGAGGATCAAACCGTACCAGAGGTTGTCGTGTAGCCACAGCTCAGTATATGGTGCGCTAGAAAAGCGAATATTGTCCCAAAAGTAGTGCTGCATTTTTCGAAAAAAAGTTCCTTTTGAATACTTTTAATGTTTTCTTTTATGTGTTACAGTAGCACGTGTGATGTGATTACAAGTGCGCGAGTGTGTGCCTTGCTGGTCGGAACGGACTGCCAGGTCCAGCTGTAGCATGGCCTGGTTTCGGCAGACGCTTATGCGCGTATACCCAGGCGCCATCACGGAGCGCGCGTATGCTGTGAATGCATGGTGATGCCTCGGAAGTCGTGTACTCTGTATGTGCGGAAGTCATACACTGTGTGCGCGGAAGTTTTATACTCTGTGTGCGCAGTAGTGTTCTCTGAACATGCATCAGGCTCTGTCCTGACAGGCGCTGTCCTGATTCATGTTTTTAACCTGGTTCACGTGGTTAATGTGGGATCTCGTAAGTTCAAGTACGAATATGTGTGAGATACTTTGTATGAAGATGTAACCATACTTGTGAAAGCAAAGTGCTTTATTATAGTCAGCGGTATGAGAGGCGTATTTCTATTAGACGACCTCGTATGCGTGATAGATGAGAGGAGAGGCAACGGTGTATGTTGTCCTGATAATTAACCAATTTTTTTTTCACTCAGATCACGATGACGACAACCCTGACGATGCCTGTGAACTCTTAGGTGCTCCTGCTGCTCCCTTTGACGCTTCGAGTGCGTGGTGCGGCGCAGCGTCTTGCTGGCGCTGGTGCGGCGCAACGAATCGGTGTGCGAGTGCGGCACGCCCTGTGCTGTTATTTTGGTCACGTGAGCTTGCTTAATGGCAGCTAACTATAGCTGTGTTGGTTTGTTTTAATAGCCACGTGCACTTGCCTTATGCCTGCCGCAGCGGCGAGCAGTGAGCGATGTGTTTACGTCTGCTATGTGAGCAATCACAGCGGTGTGCTGATGAATACTGGCGAGTCGTACCCATTTTATTACGATTCTGGTGTCAAATGAGAGAGCCCCATCAAAGATTGTGTTGCGCCAAAGTTTAGTGGCAAAAGTGTAAATATTGTAAGTTTAACCGAAATCGGTCATGTTAGTGTGCAAAGTACCCTACAAATACCCCCATGATCATGTGAGGAAGATCTCTGATCACCAAGTTACTCGAGAATTAGATGTCATTGTTGATGACAGCGGTAGTGAGATCAAATCTGATAAAGAATGGCTTGTATACTCATACTCCAAAACTTTAGACCCTACCTTATGAGTAATATGTGGTGATGGGACATTAGGGAATCGTTGGTGCGATTCTTGTCTGTGTTGGAGCAAAGCGCCCCTCATGTGTTGTAGCATATTTGGCGGCAGATATGTAGAGAATCGTCGGTGCGATTCTAGCATATGTGGCGGTAGATGTGTAAAGAGTCGTTGGTGCGACTCTGGCCTGTGTTGGTGCGCGAAACCCCTCACGTGTTGTAGCATGTTTTGCGGTGGATATGGGGAGAATCGTTGGTGCAGTTCTGGCATGTGTGACGGCAGATATGTAAAGAATCGTTGATGCGATTCTGGCCTGTGTTGGTGCACAGAGTCCCTCATGTGTTGTAGCATGTTTGGCGGCAGATATGTGGAGAATCGTTGGTGCGATTCTGGCATATGTGACGGCAGATATGTAAAGAATCGTTGGTGTGATTCTGGCCTGTGTTGGTGCACAGATTTCAATGAATATTTCCCGAGTTGAGTATTCATTGCTTATGAATTATGGTAAAGAGTAACGAAATTGTTAGAATTACTGTGTTGTAACTTGTTGATCGGACCTTTCACAATAAATCATGTTGTGCAGGAAACACTCTGTAAGAAGCCTTAATAACAGGGCAGTGTCAATTATGACAATTGACTATTGTACTTAGACTTAGGAGAAGTAAAGTACCATTTGGAATCGATCTTCTTTCGATTGGCAGGATAGCCGAGCTAGATTAATCCCTAAGCATATTTCTGTCCACAGGCACTACCAAGGACAGGTGCTGGTAAGGGATGGCCGTGTCGTAGATTGATGGCGCCATAGTGCAACAAGCATCGCCATCTAACGATTAGTTTTGCGAACTAATAATATGTACCTACTCATGTACTACTCCAGGACGGACGAGCGGACGAATTGGTGGACTAATAGTGTTTGTTACAGGATGCATGAAAATACACGCCCGAGGACGGCCGTACGTCAGAACGGCCGTGTCGGAGCGTCTATAAAATACCCAGTTGGATCGAGGTAGAATGGAGGTTATATCGAGAAACCCCCTCTTGTGTCTGTAGTATAAAGTTCACTGTAGGTGCCGTGCGCGGGAGATTCCGCCTAAGTCATTCAACGAGTGTGGTCATTCTACGGTAGTGCTAAGATAGTGTCGTGGTTCTGTTCGTTGTTGTAATTCTTCTAGTGCAGGCAAGGAGAGGCTGCCCCGTGTTACATTGAGATAAGTAGTGTTGCTGTTGGTTTACATATTTTGGTGTTATCATGTAATTACGTACCTCACGTCACACTAGTGTGTGATTGTGGCGGAGACGTGTTACGGTGTGGTCAAACTGTAATTTCACGATACTGAATGTATAGTGCGTTACGTTGTCTTATTACTGATAATGATTTAACTGCGTAAGCAAGAGAGCAAGTTGAACATCCGCTCTCACACTTTTATTATTTTTAACAATTAACGCTATCCTGATGTATTTCCAAGATCAAAATTGGAATCCCCTGTTGTAAATCTCCGACATATATTTAAATTAAAGTCTTCGCGCATGCGCGACTCTACTGTCTCCCGTGCATGCGCGAAGGCATAGAGTAGCGCACAATTTTTGTTTGGAATAGCTTCTCCAGTACGTAGTTCATATAACTCAATGATTTTGAACTATTAATATTTATTTTACATATTTTCAAAATATTCTCCATCATGCTCTATACAAAGTTCTATTCGCCTAAACCAACTATAAATCAACTTTTGCCAGTATTGATCTGACAGCTCGAGAATCGCTTCTTCGTAGGCAGCCACGGCTTCTTCGGCACTTGAAAAAACTTGCCTTTTATGTTTTCTTTGACACTTGGGCACAAAAATAAATCACAAGGAGCTAAGTCAGGACTGTAGGGCGGGTGACTTAGAGTTTCAAAACCAGATTCCTCAATAAATGCTTTTGTTCTAAGGGAGGTATGTGAAGAGGCGTTATCGTGATGCAGCATGATTCCCCGAAGCCCGGTCTTTGGTCTTCTCTCCCGCACAGCTTGAAAAGCTTTGGGTAATGCAACTGAGTATACCATTCAGAGTTGACTGACCTACAATTTTTCACCATTGACGTCAACAAATGTCCGCTCCGCGAAGAACAACAAACCACCATTTTTTTTACCGACGTTCCGAGGTCTTTGCAGTTTTGTCGGTAACTGTCTTTCTGAGTAGACCCATACCGATTATTGCCTTTTATTTTCCGGATCATATTGATAGAGCCATGTCTCGTCACCAGTATCGAGTGAGTTTGTGCTGCGCCTGCGTGGAATACGTTCGTGTGTCTAGTTGCTACAAATTCTGTTATCAAAATTCGTTCTTAAAAAATTGTGATTGGTCAATTTATCAAATTTCAATTCCTTATTACTCTAGTGCAGTGTATATGGACTAACTCCGCCCAGTGGGAGGTCTTAGAGTGAAATAGTATATGTCTGCGCAGTTCCTAAGTTGAATAAGTGATAACTTGAGGGTACATACATTCGAGAATCTCGAACCCCGTTCGTTTTGATCGTGAATCACCGCTGTACTGAACGCGCTAAAGAGTTGCTTAAGCGCACTGCAAAATTACGCTCGACTTCGTGCTCACTACTGACGTCATCGACATTCATAACTTCATTTAATTTTAACTCCTTATAAAATATTAACGCTAGAATGTCGAAGTGCGCTGCTTGCGGGAAATTTGTAAGTCCGGCTGACATTATTAAATGTAGCAGTTGTGCTAATATTTATGACAGAATATGTTTAAAGTTATCCAAAAGCTATAAAGTATCTCCAAAATGGCTTTGTCCGGGCTGTACTTCTAAACAACCACGAAAAGATAATACGGAGACTCCGATTAAGGTGCAAACAGAAATAAGCCAGAGTAGTTCCTCGAACTCATCACCTTCTAGTTGCAGTGGCTGTGATGCTACAAGTAAGATGATAGAGGAGTTACGTACGGAAATTGTCGCTATGCGCAACGAATTTGTAAACTTTGGAACAAAGTTCGACAGGCTTTACCTTGCCGTCAGCGACTTAAGTAAGCGAGTTGATGGAATAGAGAGTCGAGTGGCTAATCTCGAAAAAGACGAATGCATGGAAAAATATAAGGATGAGAACAAAAAGCTTAGCGACACATTGGAGCGTCTTAAGTTCGAGTTGAATGATCGTGATCAGGAACAGCTCCTTACTGATGTAGAAATAAGTTGTATACCTGAGCATAAGGGTGAGAACGTGACTCAACTTGTTATGCTTATTGGTGAAAAATTAAACGTGAAAATTGAAGAACAGGACATTGTAAGCATCCAGCGAATGGGTCCACTGCGAGGTTATATAGAAGGAGAAGGCGCTGTTCAGCCACGACCACTTGCTGTGCGCTTGGCGCGCCGAACGCTGCGCGACCGTCTGTTACAAAGCGCGCGTGTCCGTCGCAGTGCCGATACTACAGGTTTTGGCCTGCCGGGTTTGCCGAAAAAGTTCTATATAAATGAGCGTCTTACCCGTATAAATCGCCAGTTATTCTTCAAGGCCCGTCAAATGGGCTCTAAGAGCGGTTGGAAATATGTGTGGACACGAGACGGTCGCATTTACGCGCGACGAGATCAGAACACGGAGGCACGCAGAATAAGATGTGAAATCGATCTTGTCAAGTTTTTTGGCGAACCGGTGGTTGGCTAGACTTGGAGCTTTTGCTTTCCTGTTGTTTTTTTAACCGTTTGCTGAACCTATTTTTTAAACTGTTGGCGCTTGCATATTTAACAAATTTTTCGAAAATGATTTTTAGATTAATATGTCTATGCCCTACTCATTTTGTCATGTATCCGCTTATGTCGCTTAATTATACTGTACTGCACTTTTTGATATTATTGAACAAATTATTTGTAAGTGCTGTGACGCTGATGATACACAATGCATATTACTTTGTATATACGTATATTATACATGTTATATGTTTCATATTTTCCGGTTTAAAATGCTCTCTTTATTTTTGCCCATATTTTATAATATCCTATAATATTATCATAATAATTTATCTCATAAACAACTATTTAATATATTATACAACACCGATATTTAATTACACTAACTATAATATAAATTATGATATTCAACTTTTCAGAAAAATATTAGATAACATGAAATTTGATTTGTTATACAACTATAGCTATAGTAACGGTGCTGCTCTGTTTGTGTATATGTGTATATGTGAGTGTGTTTGTATAAGTATGTATATGTATGTTTATATGCATATACTGAAGTTGCTCGTGTCCCTATGTTCATATATATATATTATGCTCTTTGTGCAAAATGGCGCCTAAAACTCAAAAGCTGAAGGTTGGTTTTTTAAATCCGGGTTCTTTGGGTACAAGGCATGAAGAATTCATTGTGGCAATGGTGCAGCATGATGTAGATATCATGGCTATAAACGAGACCTGGCTACGTGATGGAGAACAAGGTCGCGCGCCATCTATCCCCGGTTACCTCTTGCGCCATATTCCACGTTCAAGTACCACGCGCGCACGCGGTGGTGGGGTTGGATTCTATGTACGTCATGGTCTCGCCGTAAAAACGTGTGTATTTCCTGCCGCAATATCAGTTGAACAAATGTGGCTTAACTTAACTGTTAACGGCATAAATCTGATAATAGGTACTGCTTATCGACCACCATGGCTTGACGTAGACATATTTTTTGACGCACTTACTGATTCAGTATCATCTTTTGCCCATCGCGATAATATTGTGCTCTTGGGTGACTTTAACATAAATTTACTGGTAACTGACAACAATACTCATAAATTTGACAATTTTACAAAATGCCTAAATTTAATCCAATATGTAAATGAACCTACACACTTTACTCCTTACAGTGCTACATTAATTGATTTAATATGCGCCGACCTACCAATCTCTAACGTAACCGTCGATTACATACCAACTCTAAGTAATCATGCTTTCTTAACATGTAACTTTAAAATCAGTAAGCCAAAATGTCAACCAATTCAGTTTTTGTATCGCCCAGTGAAAGACATAAATCGTGATAGTTTTAATTTCGAAATGGAAAGGATCGACTGGGATTCTATGGCTCAATTACCTCATGTAAATGATATGGTTTCTCAATTCAATTTAACAGTGTTAAGCCTGTTCGACCAATTCGCGCCACTAAAGCTTAAGCAAGTAAAGGAGCGTACATATCCATGGATTACCTTTACTATTCGCGAAATGATAAAATTGCGGAACGAAGCACATAATCGTTTTCGCTTAACTAGATTAGAAAAGCATAAAACTTATTACAAAGAACTTAAGCATGCTGTAAACTCAGCGTTATACCGCGAAAAACAGGCCTATTTTAATCAACATATAAACCGCAATATAACTAATTCTAAAGCTCTTTGGAACAATCTTAAACGGACAATAAACATATCAGAAAAATCTAGAGACTATGTAATTCCTGACCAACTCAACGACCCGGATTTGATTAATTCTCACTTTTGCACTATACCTGGAAATGATTCAGCACCCGATTCAGAACATGTTTTCTTTGGCTCCCATCGATTTTGCTCTTCAACATTTAAGTTAAATGTTACAGACGAAAACACAATAGCCAAAATAATTGATTCCCTTAAGTCAAACGCTTTGGGCGCTGACGGTATATGCCTGGATATGGTTGTTTTAACACTTCCTTACACGCTAAAAGTAATCACCGCGATAGTTAACAGATCGATAACCACGTCTTATTTCCCTGACGTCTGGAAAACCGCTTTGGTTACACCAATTCCAAAAACCAATAGCATTATAAGTTTCAAAGACCTGCGCCCTATCAGCATCCTACCCTGCTTGTCGAAAATACTGGAAAGAGTAGTATGTATACAGCTTGAAGCATACTTGGAGAGTAATCACATACTACCGAAACTGCAGTCTGGTTTTAGAAAGCATCACAGCACGACCACATCACTATTAGATGTAGTGGACAATATTTTAGCATCTCAAGATAAAGGTGAAGGTACAATCATGGCACTACTTGATTTCTCACGGGCTTTCGAGTCTCTTAACATCGAATTATTATTGTCCAAGCTTTCCTATTATGGATTTGATCCGACGGCAATCAAGTGGTTCTCCAGTTATCTAAATGATCGCATGCAGTTGGTTAAAATAATTAAAAAAGATGGTACACATTCCTTATCAAGTCCTTGTCCTGTAACGAGAGGAGTTCCCCAAGGATCCATACTAGGCCCTCTTTTATTCATACTATATATAGCAGATATTAGTACAGCCATTCAGAACTGTAAATATCATATGTATGCAGACGATTTGCAGGTATATCTTTCCTTTGTACCAAGTCAAACTAACTGGGCTGTTAATAACTTAAATAGAGATCTAACGAAAATCGCCCAGTGGTCAGAAGCCAACACTCTTGTACTTAATCCAGACAAATCAAAATACATAGTATTGGGATCAAAGCGACAGATAAATAGAATAGTTGCAAATAATCCTGATCTGTGTGTCCTCGGGGAGAAGATAAATCGTGTGACTGAAGCTAAGAATCTGGGGTTGCTGATGGATGACGCGCTTCGCTTTGAGAGACACGTGATCGAGATCACACGTAATTGCTTTTACAGACTAAAAGTATTATACCGAATACGTGACTTTTTGAGTGAAGATCTGCGCGTTAAGCTTTGCAACTCCCTTGTACTCTCCAGGCTAAACTATGCCGATACGGTATATGGACCAAGGCTACTTTCGAAAACTGATCGAATAATTCAGAGGATCCAAAATGCTTGTGCCAGGTATATACACCACATACCCCCACGAACTCACGTCAGTCCCTTTTTAAATAAATCGAAGTTATTAAGAATGTCCCAATTAAGAGCACTACATTTAGCAACACTAATGTTCGGTGTCTTTCAAAACAAAAAGCCCGAGTATCTATTAGAAAAACTAAAATGGCGCAAGGATGGTAATTTCAAGGACATTCGAACAAAATCAAATGTCCTTTCAGTACCAAAACACACAACGGCAGCATTCCGCGGTAGTTTCCGATATGCAGCTACTAAATGCTGGAACAACTTGCCCCCACCTATCCGCCAACTAAATACCATCAGCCTTTTCAAGGTAAAAATAAAAGAATATTTTTGTCACTTTAATATTTAGGGCAGATAAAATAGCTGCATTATATTTTCATAGTATTATATAAATATCTATATTGTTTTATTGTATATACTCATTATATTATTTATTATATACATTTATATATACCTACTGCATAAATAAAGTTCCCATCCTTTTTTGTTTCCATTATTTTATTTTATTATTTTGATAACATCTTTCTCGAAAATAGAAATAAAGCGAACATACTATCCTCGCGGGCGAGTCCAACCTCAATGGGCATTGCTGAAAACCAACGCTACCGCAATCCTGCGATAGCATTACGTTGAGTCAGTGCCCTTTTCAGCATCACATCACTCATGCAATCGGATCATTTTATGACTGTTTTTTGTTATTTACTTTTATCTTTGATGTTTTTATGTTTTATTTTATTTTCTGTATCAAAACTGTATGAGTGTATGTTGCTGAATAAATGCATGTCTATGTCTATGTCTATGTCTAAACACGCCTAGATGCCCCGTTTTCAAAACGTAGGACGCGTTTCATGGCACCATTCCATACGAGTCTATTTTTCGCTTTCGGAGAGCAAACGAAGGATCCATCGACAACAAAGCTTCCTCAATCCAAGACGTTGATGTAGGATGGTATGAATGCTCCCCGAACTGCCTACAATCTTTTCGATGTCCGTATATGTGATTCGTGGGTCTTCTCGCACCAACATTTCAGTAGTTCATACATTTTCTGCCGTTACTGCTGTTTGCGGGGCTCCGGTTCTTTGGTCATCTTTAAGATTAATTTTACCCCTTTTCCATTCAGCAAACCACCTAAAAATTGTTGCGCGTGATGGAGCTGAGTCCCTTACTGCTGATTGTAATCGTTGTAAACTTAATTGTTCGGTTAAACCAAATTTAAAATAATAATATATCATAGCGCGTAAATGTTCACGGTTAAGATCAATCTTTTTAAATGAAAAGCGCGGGAATCGTTGCAGTAAAATTAATAGAAATTGTTTTTTTTAATACTGAGCAATTTACTTATGGAGTACTATTTTTAAATAAATTTGCTTTTTAGAAACATATAACACGGGTACGGCACATTTTAAATTTCGAGCATCTCAAAACTTATTGAGTGACTTACGTATTACATAATATGGCATATTTGCGCATATATCTTTCAAAAACAAGTTATAAAATAACAACGCTGACGACAGTGTCACCTAATTTTTTAAATTTTCTGAAATTTCAGAAAATTGTAGTATAAAACATGTATATTTATTAAAAACAACATTTTTATATTCATTAACTAGCTGGGCCCGCGAGTTATTTTTAGTTCAAACAATTCCTTTGAAGTGAAATTAAAAGAATCGCTCAAATGCTCTTCAGCAGATCGTTTCCTTTTGAATCGAGTAGGTAAATATTCGGTTTACCTTGAGCACTAACTTTACTTATGGCATTCGAGTCAGAGTCCTATTGAACTTGTATTGTGCATGGAGGAGTACGCTGAATTTTATTTATACAAAAATCACTATATGTATAATCGGGGCAGATAAAGTACGTCTACCGTTAGCTACACAA